CTCTAGCGGTGTTACATAAACCTCTTCTTGTAAATCTCCATAAAACTTTTCGTTTGGTAGGTCAACCATATCCCATGTTCCATCTTTCTTAACGGACAGCATCTCTACTGCCATGGCTTTCTTCCCGTCTTCTTTTTCAGTTGCTTCTTCATAATTCATAGTGTCTGAAACAGTAAGAGCAAATTAACATGATGTATATATGTCAGCTAAAGATTTATACTTCCTTAGAGGTGTCTCATCTGAAAGTTTTTCAAGAGAAGAACAGTGGTGTTGAAGATGATGAATTTGACACACTTTGTGTTGCAGTGGATGCACTGAGAGATGCACTGGAGTTGACCCTTGTCTCTTCATTTAGGGAAACTTCAACTGTAATCTTTTGCTGCTACTGTTCTTTACTCTAATCCCAATTCACGTTTTCATTAAATATTACATCCCTTCTAATTAAAATCTTTTCACTGATGGGGTTGTATAATTTATATGCCTTTGATTGAATACAATAGCCAATGAAAATGCATTTTTCAGATTTTTTATCAAGCTTTTGACGAATTTGAGGATGTTTCAAAGCATAAGCAACACAACCAAAGATTCGTAAATGACTTATAGATGGTTTTCTTCCATGACATGCTTCATAAAGAGTTCGATTCATAACTGTCTTTGTTGGTGAGATGTTTAATAGATAAACAGATGTTGCTACGGCTTCTGCCCAAAATTGGTTTGGAAGTCTCCTTACTTGTAACATACTTCTTGCTATCTTCACAATAATTCGATTTTTTCGTTCAGCGATTCCATTTTGTTCTGGAGTGTAGGGAGCTGTTAATTCCCTTTGGATGCCCTCTTCTTCACAAAACAGATTGAACTCTTTAGATATGAACTCGCCACCTCTGTCCGTGCGAAGAACTTTAATGAGACAGCCACTTTGGTTCTCTACCATAGCTTTAAAAATCTGGAACTTCTGAAAAGTTCTGACTTATGTCGTAGGAAGTAAACCCAGCTCATGCGACTATGGTCATCAATGAATAGTAAAAAGTATATACTCCCACCTAAGGACTTCGTTTCCATTGACCCACATAAATCAGCATGAATTAGTTCTAGACAATGTGAAGCTCTTTTAGTTTTTCCAACAGGAGACTTTATAGTCTGCTTGCCATAAATGCATCATTCACATAAATTAGTTGAGTCAATTCTTGGTAATCCAAAAACTATACCTTTATCCCTGAGTATTTTTAGGTCGTTCATATGAAGATGTCCATATATGAGATGTCATAATGTTGAATCATCTTTCGTGCTCGCAGTAAGAGCAAAATCCTCCATGTTAGAAACATCGAGTGGAAACATCTCATTTGAAGTCATGGCAATTTGAACTTTATGGCCTGATTTCTTATGTGTAATGACACATGTCAATCAAATAGAACTAAATGTTCTCTGGTCATTAATTGTCTAGCACTCAATAAATAGTACCATAAATCAGGTACAAATTGAACATTATCTAATTGTTTTATCTTACCATGACTGGTTTCGACTTTCACGGTACCTTTTCCTTCAACCTGCATCTCTTTTGTATTTCCAAGTTGCACCTTAATTTTTTGCGTCTCATCAAGCTCTTTGAATAAGGATTTGGTTCCTGTCATATGGTTCGAGCATCCGCTATCAACAAACCATAACTCACATTTTCTCGGATTGTATCCATGCACGCCATAAACAACTTTTCTTCTTCTTCTTCATTCTCTGCTGCAAAATTCATTAGTTGATTTTTATACCAACAATCCGATTTTGTATGCCCATACCTTCTGCAAGGGTAACATTGTATGACATTCCTTTGTTCATTGAATTGTCTCTGTCCATCACTTCTCCATCTACCCCTGTTATCACGACCACCATGGACGCTGCGAAATCCTCATTTTCCACACTTTTACCTGCTAAATGAATATTTTCTCTTTCGTTGTTTTTGTTGTTGGTTGTCTCCTTCACTTGTAGTGCATTTTCTTTGTTCCTTTCTGATGCTCTATTGATTCTTGCCTCATGAGCCTGAAGCGAGCCCATCAGTTCATCAACGGAGAGTGTGGATAGATCCTTAGCTTCTTCTATGGTAGCCACTACATGGTCAAACTTTGGAGTCAAGCTTCTCAACACCTTTGCAACAATTGTTTCGTCTGAAATTTTCTCTCCATAGGTACACATTTGACTAACTATTGTCATTGCTCTTGACAAAAAATCAGCAATTGATTCACCATTCGTCATGAGCAAAGTTTTAGAATCACGTCTTAGAGATTGCAATTTCACTGTCATGACCTTTGAATTTCCCTGAAACTCCTTCTGTAGAATTGACCATGCTTGCTTTGATGTGGTTGCTGCTGCAATTCGTGAAAAGATAGTCTCATGAACTGCTTGCTGAATAGTGAATAGACCCTAGCATCGTTTTTCTTGGTTTCTCTTAGTCTCTCCTTTTCTTCTATTGTGGGTTCTAATAAATCAACAAACTCGTGCTCCACCAAGTCCCATAGCTCCTGCGATTTGAGCAAGGTCTTCATCTTGATGCTCTACCACTAATATTTCTCACCATTAAAGTTGGGTAACAACGGTGCAGAGGAAGAAAAACCAACTACTGCCATTTTTGTTTTGTGAAAGAAAATAATCACTCACCCTCATGTCGAAGGAACTTGGCTCTGATACCAAAATTGTTGAAAAAGGGAGAGTGAAACAGATAGAATAGATAAAATAGATGAAAGCTGCAGTGCTTTGTTATTGTTTTCTGACTCAATGACTCAATGCTTAGAGTTACACAATTTCAGTATGTATAGCTTAGTAAATCATGGAAATCTAGATAAATTCAATTCTACTAACAATTTTCAAAAATCTTAGTAGTTTGAATATTTGAATCATATCTCAACTACTTTAAATCATATCTTCATTTTAAATACTTTGAGTCATATCTTCATTTTAAATACTTTGAATCAAATCTCAACAAGTTTGACACGTGTTCTTCACTTGACGAGACGCGTTCTGCCTCCCTTTGCGTGGCATGTGTCCTTGCCATCGCTTGATGCATTCTTCCTCGCTCGCCCTGCCACCTTCAAGGTTTATTTTTCAGATTTACAGTATTTCGTGTTTTTCTTATTTTCTTTTAGTTTTTGTTTCTTTTTCTATATAACTCAATTCAATACGGGTTTTTTTCACTAAAGTTATTGTTTAATCCAGCTATCCAATAGAATTAGTTTCATTCGGTTTTATTAATCATGGAGAAAAATAATAAATAATCGTGTTGAAATTAGGCTCAAAATTCATAAACTCATGGTTCATGAGGATAAGATGTTTGAGAATAGGACGTTTGGAAATAAGATGCTATATAAAGTTTTGATTTTTTTTTATATTTTTTTTAATTTTTTTTTTTTTTTTGTAATCAATCTTAATAGTTAACATCACATAAATTTATAATCGTAAACATTTAGTACTAACTTATCATTCAAAAATTAAATGTTGTATTTAGTAAAGTATATTATATTAAATGAGATATATTTATAAATCTTATATAATTATAATTTGGAATTGTGAAAGACGATTAGAGGGTGAGGAACCATGCTCCTGATCGATCCAGACCTAAGGAGTCGGAACTGAGTAACTTGGATACGTAAATATTTGTCTAGATCGCCAAATCGTTCTAGAGACAAAAGACCACCATGACAACTTCAGAGAAAATGGAGGTAGCATGTAGGCAGGTAGCAGTCGGTGTAATGTTTGTGAAGCTTCCAGTTCCCTGTCCATCCAAAGGTACCGTTGAGCTAGGCGTGAAGCTTCCAGTTCCCTGTTCATCCAAAGGTACCGTTGAGTTAGGCGTGAGGCTTGTTAGGGATGTACGACTTGAGTAGGAGAGTTTGACTGGACTATCCTGCGCGGTGGGTCCATCCTGTGGGAGGATGTTGATCATGTGGGTAGTTAGCAGAGTTTGGTACGGGGAGCGCTCTTGACTTTGGGCAACTCCATGACATGTGGGATGAGTTCACATTTACCTCCCATGGTTGACTAGTAGGCTAGCACTCATCATGCTGTCCCAGCCTGATAGAGTGTTCCTTAAGGTAGTGCCTCAACTCCAGACATCGGTCACCATTGCATAGGTTAGCTAGCTATCCAAGTCTGAGCACAACAAGAACGACATACCTAGATCCTAAAGATAGCTCATGACCTTCGACTAGGTCAATGATGCGATGAGGGCCTACAAGTTGGTTGCTTATTATGTATATTAATGTACTCATTTCTTTTTACATTTTTTTTTCAGGTGCATGACCATATTGGTCAAGGTGAAAGGGTGCTCGGGAACTTAGTAGTCACAAAAGAAAATCGACTCAGGACATTTGTCTAGTTCACATATTATGTATCACGTATTCAATTATCTCTTTAAATAAACATAACATACATCTAAGCATGCCTTCGGTTTAACTTTGGTATTGCAAACAATGTTATAAAGTTTTAAATTCGTGTGAAAATTCATATTCGATTTTCTTTGTCTTTTCATTCATTCCTCTTGTATTGCATAATTTGTTTAGTCACATCCAATCTTTCGACGCCTCAAAATTTGGGGCGTGACATCTCTTTTATCTTTCGATTACGAATGATTTTTTTGATAATACAAACTCACTATTGATCGGGCCGACTCAAATCCAATATCAACGAAAGCTAAACTATAAAGTAAAACATATGATTCGTTGGTTTATTTATACCAAACTTGATGCTTTTAAGATTTGCACCCCCTCCAGCGTAACATATATATAAAGCCACCAGGTGAAGCACGATTCATACGATATGGACCCACTTTTACGGCTTGTTAGCTAAAGCTCTCGCTCCACCAGCTACCTAATATGCAATATTCTTTAATTGAGATAAAAAAAAAGACAACGTTTTCATAAAGGTATCGTTTCTTCTTCAACTTTATCTCCCCTTTCTTCACTTATCAAGAGCTATAAATAAGAGACGTTATTAAGAGCAAATGGCACAACAATTTCTTCCTTCCCTCTTCCTGTTTACATTTGTTCTTAGTTTCCCAATCCCTCCTTTGTGAAATCATGTCTCTATCAGTTCCCAACAACCCCGTTGCTTCATTGCACCATCCAAAGCTTTCAACCTCCACCAAGGACGACCAAAGCATAAGTCACTTATCCGATGAGACAGTGACCGACTACATTTATACTAAACATCATGAGGACGATAGTGTGAAGATCGACGTCGATAATTACATTGCACTCGTTGAAAGTATCATCACAACTGCTGACCGAATCACCGAAACTGTTACTCACGTACCCATTTCTACATATCATCGTCTATTTTCTCGTCATTAATTTCTATCTTTCGAGTTTAGTTTATGTATGTATGTATGTGATTGATCCATAACCAAAATTGTAGGGCACCGAGGGCCGTTTGATATTCTCAGATGATTTCTTGAAGGTCAATGCTGTTGATCCACCACTTTGCACCCTTCACAAAGTGTCAAGCCAGGTCATTCTCAAAAATTAATATCTAACCAATCATTAAATGATTAAATATTTCCAAATCATTTTCTTGACGATTTTTAAACATACAAAAGCTTTAGGTTAAGAAAAGAAGTTAGCATGGGACATTCATATATGTATTAATTGGTGAAATGAATTGTGTATCAGCTGTCTTGCAAAGCTCCAGGTGTAGAACAAGCGCACAAGACGACCCTTGACATTCTTGATATATTGGCAAGTTACTCATGGGAGGCTAAAGCAGTGCTAACATTGACTGCCTTTGCGGCTGAATACGGAGACATATGGCACCTCAACCATTACTCATCGTTGGATCCACTCGCAAAATCATTGTCAATGATCAAGCGAGTTCCTTTGTTGAAGAAGCAATTGGAGGGTATGAAGTACCGGCAAGTGCTTGTTAGCCCCAACAGTTTGATCTACAGCTGCTTGCGGGCCATGAAATACATTACCCAACTCAAGAATTTCTCCAAATATGATGTCGATGAACTGCCGGAGTTATCTTCCGTCCGCCGCCAAATTCCTTTCTTTTCTTATTGGATTATTCATATTATCGTTGCTACCCGAATTGAAATTTCAAGTTACTTGAATGAGACCGAGTAAGTTCATAATTATTCTTCTCTTGTTTATCTCCATTGTTTTAAATCACTTTTTTCATATTTATGAAATCATATTGGTAATTCATTCTTTATTGAATGAATTTATTTTAATTTTTCAAAAATAAAACAATGTAGCTTTTCAAGCTCAACTTTTTGCCAAATTTATTTGATTCTTCAATCAAACTCAATGATTTTGTAATAATATTTTCAGGGGCCAATCACAAAGGTATCTGAATGACTTGGCCGAAAAGATCAACCGTTTACTCTGTACGATTGAAGATTATCTCAACGTCATTCGAGAACAACAAGGTCAATTTTCAATTTAAACATGTTTGGAGAGAAGAGAGAGTAAAATATCTTTTCAACCAAAACTTAGATTTTTACTACATATGTATATATATTATGGATGCAGAGGAGATTGATCTTTATAGATGGCTTGTGGGTCACATTAATAATTCTCCCACTCGGATAACTTTAGTTCTGCCTAAGCTTATTGAAGGCAAGGTCGAGGCAAAGCCTTTCATAGATGGTTCTACTCGATTGCAGGTCTTTGCCTTAAATTTTATAGTACAAACGAACATTTTGTTTTTATAATTAGATATATTTAACATACACACGTGATATCTTATGCGTTTGATTTTTTTTTTTTTTTATTTAACATACACACGTGATATCTTATGCGTTTGTAGGTTAGTGTTGAAGATGCTTTGAGAGACAAGAACGTGATCTTGTTAATTTCTGGATTAGATATCTCGGATGATGATATTAGAGCTGTTGATTTAGTTTACAATGAAGTGAGAAAGGAGGATAAGTATAAGATTGTTTGGATTCCAGTTATTCCTGATTATTTTCGAGAAGAAGAAGCTCGAAAGATATATGAGTACTTAAGCTCTTTAATGAAGTGGTACATTGTGCCATACACAACAAAGATTGCAGGTTGGAGATATCTGGAGGACAAATGGCAATTTAGACAAGACCCATTAGTTGTTGTTATGAACTCCGAATCAAAGGTTGAATTTGCAAATGCAATCCATTTAATCCGAGTTTGGGGAGCTGAAGCCATTCCGTTCACGATGGATAGAACTCTTGCTTTATTGAAAAAGAATTGGCCTGAGTCCACCCTTCTAAAATTTATTGAGGAACCAAGATTGCGAAGTTGGGTATGTAAATATAACGTTTTTTCATTAATTTCCACATATTTATGCGTTTAGCAATGTTGTTTTGACTCGTACTTCATGTCTTGACATATCCAATATTTCATCTTTGTTAGGTCAATCAAGATAGGACCATCATATTTTATGGAGGAAAAGATCCAAGTTGGATTCAACAATTCGAAGAGAAAGTAGTAGAAATTAAGAACGACCCATATACTAAAGAAAAAGGATATACATTTGAAATTGTTGAGGTGAATGATTTTACATTGACACCTCATTTTTGGATCACACAATGGGGTTATTTCGTAATCAAGAGTCAAATAAAAGATTCAAGTGCAACTGAAACAACGGAAGATATTTTACGACTAATATCTTATAAAGATGAAAATGGTTGGGCAGTTTTAACAGTTGGCTCAGCTCCATTGGTTGTAGGTCGAGGCGATTTGATTTTGGGAGTTCTCGAAGATTTTAACAAATGGAAAACAACTTTGACAGCCTTCCATGATGTCTTTAAAGACAAGTTCGGCCTGCAAAGCCTGTTATATCGCCCATGCGAAAGAATTACACTTCCTCAATTTAGTGGGTGGATTCCAATAAAAGTAAATTGTCCTGAATGTCCTCTCTTCATGAAGGTTGGTATAAGCTTGAAGTGTAACAGCGGGGGTCGTGAGGACTAATGATGTCAACAATAATATATTGTTTATAATACTATATGTACTACTACTAAATAATATGAGGTGATCCGACAACATGGAATCCTACTATTTGTATCATCAAGTTTGAGCCTGTTATGCTACAACTAAACGTGATTATTTCTTATCGAGGAAAGCCTGTTGGTTCTTCTTTCTCTTCTCCTTAGTTTTTAAAAGAATTACTTCTAAGTGAGGTTTTTCCATTTGAAATGAAAATGTTCATTACTACAAACCTTAGCAATTTCTTTGCTAGACACTTGAGGATTTTATCGACATGGCTAAATGAAGGGCATGTGTAAAGTTGAAATAAAAAATAAAGAAACAAATCGACCCAAGCCCATGGAGGGGCAAATGTGCCATTTTGCCCCTCCACCTACTACAGGGGTCCAAGTGGAACCCTAATAGAGGCCAACAAAAGGAAAGGGAGGACTAGGAGAGGGTTTGGGAGAATTGAGGAGCCGCAGCCAGGACTTCGTCAAGAATCGAAGTGAATTCTTGAATGTTTTCCAGATCCGAGACTAACCTTTACGAATCGGGACTTAATGTTTGAATACGTTCATCTAGGGAAGTTGATTTCGTGAAGAAGCTTGGCAGAAATCTGGGAATCGTCCATGGACGGTAAACAAATTTTTGTGGCTCAAATCTCGTTCTATGTTGAGGCTAAAATCACGAAAAAATACCAAGATGTAGTCCTCAACCCGATCTAGAACTTTGTCGAAGGAACTATATCGATCCGAGCTCCGGATCAAAAGATATGAAAATCGGAAAACGGTGGATTGGAAAAAGGCTACGGATTGCAGGAGAGAGAAAAGAAAAAAAAACAGAAGAGGCGGCGGAGCGCGGCTTAGCAGGCGGCGACATGCGTCGAGTGTCAGCTAGAGCAACGCAGCTCCAGCGGAATGATGAAACAAGTCACCAACAGAAACCAGGCCAAACCGCAGCGAACCGGACCGCTGGCCGAGTCGAGCCGACCCGCGACTGCGTGAAGCAGTCTGTGCATGCAGCTTGCGACTGGCGTCCTTTCCCGCGTGTTGCTGGTACGTGAGGGCGCATGAGAGGCTCGTTTTTCGTCTATTGACCTTCTGTTTGTCCCGATTCCATTTTAATAATATTTTTATGTGAATAGGGACCTAATCGAGGATAATCAGTATTTTTGGACACCCTACGAGCGTAAAGGCGTTAGCGAAATGGCACGCGTCAACCAGATAAGTCACCACCCGGTATTTAGGAAGAAATGCTTGTAGGATTCGCTTGGATTGCATGCATGCTAGTATATTTGCCTTAGATTAGCTTTCCATGAATGAGGTTAGGCAGGACGATTGGTACGGGCGTATTGGAGAATTATCTGGGTGTTGCTTGTATGTTTTAAGCTTCCGCTATATGTATGCATATGTTTAATTCATGTCGAAATTGTGAACTCTGCGTTTCGGGTGCCCGAGGGATGACGTCGCCCCTTGAGCGCAAACTCCGTGTTCCGAGTGCTTGATGTAGACCATCGTCCCGTGACACATGCGTGTCTAGTTTGCATGAGTTATGTATGATGATGCTAGTCAACGACTGCATGCACACTCTGTTATTTTCCATGACCCATTACTACGATAAGCCTACCTAACAGATTACCACGACGAACAAGTACCTTGAGTGTTCTTAGCCTGCTAGTTGTCTTCTTACTGCTCCTGGCCATTTTGCATGGAAAATGTGTCCCCACGTCGTACAGCCCGTTAGCTGCACAGGAATGGTTGCGTTGGGTTAGGTCGTGCCCCCTCTACCGGGACTATATGGGCTTAGGAGTTATTCAACACACCCTGGGTTAGATACCATGTAGTATCAGATAGCCATGTAGAGGTAGCGCCTTATAGAGAGAAGCCGACCATGTCAGCTTAGCATTAAGAACCCTTAGGTATGAAATGAGAGGAGGGAGAACTAGTGAAACCAAGGAGCAAGCTCTAAAGAGCAAGTCCCAAGGGGCTAAGACCAGAACCAGATGTCCTAGAGCCAATTAGAAAACCATGACGATTAGAGCCTACAAGTAGGTGGCTTACTGAGTATAATTTTTATACTCATCCCATTCTCTTTTTTTTTCTTAGGTGTTCGCAAGGTGCCGGTCGAGGTAGAGGAGCGCTCAAGAGCTGTGCGGTTACAGAGGGGGTCGTTCTAGAGTGTCAGTCCCCTTTCGGTGTTTTGGAGTCTTTTTTGTAAATTCTCATTTATAATTGCATTTCCTTTTTTTGTAAATTTAAATCCTCATTTCAAATATTTGAAAATTACACTTCACATTCTTCTATTTTAATTTTATTGGATTTTCATCTTTTTTTTTATTTTTTATTTTACCTTTCTTTTCTTTCTTTTCTTTCTTTTTGTTTGTTTTTTATTTCATCTTTTTGGCCACGAATCGAGCTTTTGAAGCCTTGAAAATCGGGTCGTGACAGCATGACTCTCGTGGCTTTACTTTGGGTTTCTTCAAAAGGCCTCATACCAATGGAGATTATTCTTTACAACCCATGATTATTCCCTAAATTAGCGAATGTGGGACTCCCTCCCAACGATCCTCAGCACATGTCATAATACAACATAATCTAATATGGTATAACATATAAAATAACAATCATAATTATGACGAGTGCATGAACTAAAAGACACGCATCATCATATATCATACAATTCGTTCAACCAAACCAACCGGAGAGCCACTTACTTGGTTGACCTAAGCCGATGTTACCAAATTTTCTGAGTCGATATTTCATTTGATCCTACTTGTCAAGGTCTAGTTCCAAAGTTAACTCCAAATCTACGTTACTAAATGAATTGGGACGATGAAAATGGTGAAGTTAGGATAGGAGATGATTTATAGGAGAAATGAGAAGATAAAATGAAGTATGCAATAGAGGAAAACTTAGGATAGGAGATGATTTATAGGAGAAATGAGAAGATAAAATGAAGTATGCAATAGAGGAAGTGGAGGAAATAGAGGAAATAGAGGGAGGAGAGTGAGAAAGAAAGTGTGGAGTAAATTTTGAATGTGCTTAATTTTTTCTCGCACCTTCTCCTTGTGAGAAAATTTCTATATATCAACCAACTTTTGAAGTGTTTGAAGTGTTTTTGTAACTTTTTAACTCACAATTAAAGATACATAGTTAACTATTTGCCTCATTTGGTTTTTGTTTTACTTAGGAATGTTTGTCGGATACATGTACAAGAAGAAGTAAAAGAACCAATAAATATTCATCGATATAAAATAATCACGTGTGGATATATCTTAATCAGCTTAAACTTGATGATATAAATAATCACGTGCCCGACCCCTTCATATTATTTGATAGTAGTAGTACATATAATATGCTCAACATTTATGTCTCATAATTAGAGTTGGTGGCAACATATAAAGCTTATATTAGTCTCCATGAAACGAGGACATTCAGGGCAATTGACTATCATTGGAATCCACCCACTAAATTTAGAAAGTGTCTTTCTTTCACAAGTGTGAAACTTGAGGTTTAACTAGTTGAAGTAGTCTCTAGTTGAAACGAGGAGATTCAAGTTGCCTCGACATACAGCAATAGAGCTGAACTAACTGCTAAAACTGCCCGACCATTTTCATTGTCATTAAATATCAACCATAAAATATCTTCAGATGTTTCAGCTGCAATTGTGTTATTGTTGTTTAGTTGTTTTAGATCCATTAGGTTTAAGGAAGAGCGGTTGCAAGGAGTGGAACATGAATGGAAACAATGGATATTTCAGTAATTTCTCTCACACAAGAGAAAATTTCTAAAACCTTAAAATGGGTATGGAATTTTTTTCTCATCACTCCTATGACATGGGTAATGAATGTTTATAGTAATGAACGTTTTCATTTCAAATAAAAAAACCTCATTTAAAAGTAATTCTTTTAAAAACTAAGTAGAAGAGAAGGAAGAACCAAGGCTTTCATCCATAAGAAATAATCACGTTTAGTGGTAGCCTAACAGGCTCAAACTTGACAATACAGATAGTACAATTCCATATCGTAGGATCACCTCATATTATGTAGTAGTAGTACATATAGTATTATAAAGCGTATATTATGCTTGACATCTTAGAGCTCAGGGCGCCCATGGTTACACTTGAAGCTTATACCAGTCTCCATGAAGCGAGGACATTCAGGACAGTTTACTATCATTGGAATCCATCCACTAAATCCGGGAAGTGTCATTCTTTCACAAGTGTGAAATTTGAGATTTAACTCATTGAAGTAGTCTTTAAAGGCATCAGGGAAGGCTTTTATGTTCAAAGTTCTTTTCCATTGGTTAAAATCTTCGAGAACTCCCAAAATCAAATTGCCTCGACCTACGAGCAATGGAGCTGAGCCAACTGATAAAACTGCCCAACCATTTTCATTTTCATAAGATATTAGTCGTAAAATATCTTCCGTTGTTTCAGCCGCACTTGAACCTTTTATTCGACTCTTGATTACGAAGTAACCCCATTGTGTGATCCAAAAACGAGGTGTCAATGTAAAATCATTCACCTCATTGATTTTCTTTCCCACACGAACAATTTCAAATGTATTTCCTTTTTCTATAATATATGGGTCGTTCTTAATTTCTACTACTTTCTCTTCAAACTGTTGGATCCAATTAGGATCTTTTCCTCCATAAAATATGATGGTCCTATCTTGATTGACCTAACAAAAGATAAGTACTAGTCAAAACAACATTGCTAAACACATAACTATGTGGGAATTAATGACAAAAACGTTATATTTACGTACCCAACTTCGCAATCTTGGTTGCTCAATAAATTTTAGAAGGGTGGACTCAGGCCAATTCTTTTCCAATAAAGCATGAGTTCTTCCATTCGTGAACGGAATGGCTTCAGTTCCCCAAACTCGGATTAAATGGATTGCATTTGTAAATTCAACTCTCGATTGGGAGTTCATAACAACAACCAATGGGTCTTGTCTAAGTTGCCAATTCTCCTCAAGATACCTCCAACCTGCAATCTTTGTTGTGTATGGCACAATGTACCACTTCATTAAAGAGCTTAAGTACTCATATTTCTTTCGAGCTTCTTTTTCTTCTTCTTGAGAATGTTCAAGAGAATGTTCAGGAACAACTGGAATCCAAACAATCTTATATTTATCCTCCTTTCTCACTTCATTGTAAACTAAATCAACGGCTCTAATATCATCATCCGAGATATCTAATCCAGAAATTAACAAGATCACATTCTTGTCTCTCAAAGCATCTTCAACACTAACCTACAAACGCATAAGATATCACGTGTGTATGTTAAATATATCTAATTATAAAAACAAAATGTTTGTTTGTACTATAAAATTGTAAGGCAAGGACCTGCAATCGAGTAGAACCATCTATGAAAGGCTTTGCCTCGACCTTGCCTTCAATAAGCTTAGGCACAACTAAGGTTAACTCAGTGGGAAAATTATCAATGTGATCCACAAGCCATCTATAAAGATCAATCTCCTCTGCATCCATGATATATATATATAACATATGATTTTGAAGTTAGCAACTTAGCATATACATATGAACTTAAATATCAAAATTTTGATCTTTATTTTACAAACATAGATCAAAAGTTGAAAATTGACCTTGATCTATTCGAATAGTATTGAGATGATTTTCAAGTGTATCAAGTATAGAGTTGATTTTTTCGGCCAACTCGTTTAGATACTTTTGTGATTGACCCCTGAAAATATTGCCACACAAAAGTTAGCTGATTGAATAGGTATAGAATATCAAAATCAAGTTGTTTATACATCAGCCAACAGAATAAAGTATTGAATAGTGCATGGAGTAGTACTTCACACAAAGAGAACAGAATCAAATAAATTTGGTATCCACTTTACTAAGCATGAAAAGCTACAATATTTTCTTTTTAAAACATTGAAATAAATTCATTCATTAAAGAATGAATTACCAATATGATTTCATAAATATGAAAAAAGTGATTTAAAACAATGGAAATAAACAAGAGAAGAAGAATTATGAACTTACTCGGTCTCGTTCAAGTAACTTGAAATTTCAATTCGGGCAGCAACGATAATGTGAATAATCCAATAGGAAACCAAAGGAATTTGGCGAAGAACGGAAGATAACACGGACAGTTCTTTGGTATCATATTTGGAGAAATTCTTGAGTTGGGTAATGTATTTCATGGCCCGCAAGCAGCTGTAGATCAAACTGTTGGGGCTAACAAGCACTTGCCGGTACTTCATACCCTCCAATTGCTTCTTCAACAAAGGAACTCGCTTGATCATTGACAATGATTTTGCGAGTGGATCCAACGATGAGTAATGGTTGAGGTGCCATATGTCTCCATATTCAGTGGCAAAAGCAGTCAATGTTAGCACTGCTTTGGCCTCCCATGAGTAGCTTACCAATATGTCAAGAATGTCAAGGGTTGTTTTGTGCGCTTGTTCTATTCCTGGAGCTTTGCAAGACAGCTGATACACAATTCATTTCACCAATTAATACATATATGAATGTCCCATGCTAACTTCTTTTCTTAACCTAAAGTTTTTGTATGTTTAAAAATCGTCAAGAAAATGATTTGGAAATATTTAATCATTTAATGATTGGTTAGATATTAATTTTTGAGAATGACCTGGCTTGACACTTTGTGAAGGGTGCAAAGTGGTGGATCAACAGCATTGACCTTCAAGAAATCATCTGAGAATATCAAACGGCCCTCGGTGCCCTACAATTTTGGTTATGGATCAATCACATACATACATACATAAACTAAACTCGAAAGATAGAAATTAATGACGAGAAAATAGACGATGATAAGTAGAAATGGGTACGTGAGTAACAGTTTCGGTGATTCGATCAGCAGTTGTGATGATACTTTCAACGAGTGCAATGTAATTATCGACGTCGATCTTGACACTATCGTCCTCACGATGTTTGGTATAAATGTGGCCGGTCACGGTGTTGTCGGATAAATGTCTTACGCTTTGGTCGTCCTTGGTGGAGGTTGAAAGCTTTGGATGGTGCAATGAAGCAATGGGGTTGTTGGGAACGGATAGAGACATGATTTCACAAAGGAGGGATTGGAAAACTAAGAGCAAATGTAAGTAGGAAGAGGGAAGGAAGAAGTTGTTGTGGCATTTGCTCTTAATTTGGTGTCTTATTTATAGGTCTTCATAAGTGATGAAAGGGGAGATAAAGGTGAAGAAGAAGCGATACCTTCATGAAAACGCTGTCCTTTTCTTTGTCTGAATAAAAGAATATTGTGTGTATAGCTAGCTGGCTGAGTGAGAGCTTTAGCTGACAAGCCGTAAAAGTGGGTCCATATCTACTATAGATTGAACTTAAATTTGGTAGGTTTTACTAAAAGGGGAAGAAAATCGGCATGCATCACGTTTGGAATAAATATAAATGATTATATCGTACTTAGCTTCTATCTTCGATTGGTAATGTTCTCAATATTACATCTGAACAAGTGCGATAATATGTATTCATTACTTATAAATTCATGGTCATCTTCTAAATTAGCTAATGTGAGACTCCTCCCGAATGATCCTCAACACGATCTTGATAATAAAATGACTAAAAAAGGTTTTTTAGAATTTGAAAGTTACTATAAGGTGCACATTTCTTCCGTGGCTCAATCATATGAATTCAAAAATTAACTAAGCTTAATTTGAATAAGTCCATGTTAGGTGATTTTCTGAAAATTTCCTACCAAACATATGATTGAGAACGAAAAATGCTGAATGAACATGATCATGTTGCAAGGGATGTAGGATAGTGTAAGAACACATAAATACTGAATTCAAATTTTGAATCTTGATCTAAACTTTTGGACGTACATGGTTATTGTTTACCTTGGGCTATTATGAAGTGGCAAATGAAAGGGAGTGCACAACTTTTTTTTTTAATTATTGGTTAGGATTTTACCAAGAGTTTGTAGAAGTGAAAAATGAGTGATTTCTACTAAATTAATAAAGATATATTTCAAATTTTGTCTCAAAAATATTTTTAAACTTAAATTTATAAAAGTTTCCATTTATTTTAAAAATAAAATATTAATAATTTTCATCCAAAACTAATGAAAGAAGAATAATTGAATTTTTTTAGTTTAAAGATATTTTTTAAACTTGTATATTTGATTTTAAATCATGAACTTCGTAGAAGTTTATGATTATGTATAATGTTGAATCTTTTTTTTAACTTCCCCGTTTGGAAAGTTAGAAATATCTATTTATGTAACACCTGAATCTCAATGTAGTATTAAATACTTGAATTCAGGAAAAAGACCGAATTTTAGGACAAGGTAAAACAAATGGCTGAAAGGCATTCTTGGAGTTGGATTCTCAATTTTTGAAATGTCATCGTCGACGGATTATCGAGCAGAATCGGATCGAAAAATGCATTTTTGGCGATCGTCAAGAAAAGTGCAAGATTTTTAAGATTTTAGTTTTTGAATGATTTTTAGACTCATTTATTTCGGCCTATGTTTGATTGTAAATTAAGAAAAAAAAATATCTTTATAAGATGGATTAAAACTCTACAAATTTGATGAAGAAAAAAAAAAAAGTTATTTGATAGAAAAGTCTACGCTAACAACTTTTTCTATAGAGCTCTCGAACAAAGTTCACCATTGGGTTTCCCTTTAAATTGGCTCACAACTTCTTTGTTCTTCACATGAGTCACTGTGACTATACGTTCGAGGCTCACAATGAAATTGTTCGACATTCGATGATTTTATTGACATAACTAAATTAAAATAAGGACATGACTCTGATACGAGGGAAAGGATCAACTAACCTCCACATTCGTATGATATTGTCCATTTTAAATATAATTTTTCCTTAAGTAGCCAACATGACACTCCAACAATCCTCGACATTTATAATAAAACATAGAAAATTACAAACAAAATCTTTACCAACTAAAAAATAAAATGATTATTGATATAATTAGTACACAAACACAAAGTAGAGTAGTAATCCCACACAAGGCATTAACTCGACCTTCTACTGCAATTTTCATATTACAAAGTTCATATTCTACGAACTAGGATGGAAAAGAAACAGACCAATATTTTCTTTTGTCCCTTCTTTCTAGATGCAGCAAATGTTAGAACAAAAATTTAGACGGTTGAGTAATTTTATTTAGCTCTAACATCGTTCCTCTCAAACAATGTTGAGATAACTTCCGAGCGTATGAAGTATTGAATCGATCTTTTCAGATAATTCATCCAAGTAATTTTGTGGTTGACCCCTGAAAAATAAAGCCACAAAACTCAATAAGTTACTTAAACACTTTAGATATTCGTATTCTACTCGAGACCAAATAAAGATAATCAGAATTAAAAGTCTTAAATTTATTCAATCCTTTGAAAGATTCGTACAAAAATACCTTAAGTTTGAAATTTGTGTTTGTTTAGTCGTTTGAACTTTAAAATACTTTAATACTTACTCGGTAGAATTCAAATAACTTGAGATCTCGAATTGAGCCGCAACAATAATGTGTATTATCCAATAAGAAATCAATGGAATTTGTCGAGAAAAGGCCGAGGATAACTCCGAAAGTTCGTTTACATCATGTTTGAAGTGTTTGTTGAGTTGATTCATATATTTGATGGCTCGTAAGCAACTATAGATTAAACTGTTGGGGCAAAGAAGCACTTGTCGATATTTGATGGAGTTTAATTGCTTCTTCAAGAATGGGACTCCTTTGATCATTGACAAGGAGTTTGCAAGTGGATCCAACAATGAGTAATGGTTGAGGTGCCATATGTCTCCATATTCAGTGGCAAAAGCAGTCAATGTTAGCACTGCTTTGGCCTCCCATGGGTAACTTACCAATATATCAAGAATGTTTAGTGTTGTTTGGTGAGCTTTCTCTATTCCTGGAGCTCTACGTGTCAACTAAGAAACATCAAATTCCACTCGTGGTTAGATCTTGTTTGGAATCCATTTTCAAACGATTAAAAGTACTTCCAAATATGTGTTGGAATACAACGGTAACACTTCAAGTCTACAACTAGTAGATATTGTCTATTTTAGTATGTTACGTATCATTATCAACCTTACAATTTTAAAACGCGTCAACTAGGAAGATGTTTTTACATGTTTATAAGAAATGCTTTGGACACATTAATTGAAGAAGAAAACGAAGCATTTCTTATAAGGGTGTGGAAACCTCTCTCTAAAAGATACATTTTAAAACCGTGAGATTGACGACAATAAGTAACAAATCAAAGCTGACAATATCTACTAGTAGTGACTTTGAGGCGTTACAGCAACTTAGAGTGAACACTAATCAATTGAAAATTGCTTTAGAATCTTTTCTTTTTCTTTCAAATAATCATCATTAAATTGACTATTGAAAGTCTTTTTTGTTGTTAAACACTAAATCCAAACAAACCCTAAATGTGATACATATAAAACTAAATAGTCATTTTTTTATACTAACCTCAGTCGATATCTGATTAAGAGTAAAAATGGGAGGATCAACATTCAAGAAATCATCTGAGAATTTCAAACCTTCTTTGTTACCCTACAATTGATTATATAAAAAAATACATAAATTGGAGGAAAATGTAAATGGAATAGTAGATAGTATATGAAAATGCTTACGTTGGTGATTCGATCTGCCGTTGTAATGATGCTATCAACCAGTGCGATATAATTATCGATATCAAACTTGATTCTTTTGCCATCACGGTGTCTAGTATAGATGGATCTGGCGACCGCCTCGTCGGAGAAGTGTTTTAGGCTCCGGTTGGAGGATGGGTTGGTAGAAAATGATAGAGACATGATTTGAGAAGAAAAGATGGAGGTTGAGGGGTTAGAGAAAATGGCAATGAGAGAGAGATAAGAGTATATTGTTGTGTTGTTTTGGTCTGGTTTCCACGGCCTATGTAGTTACTGAGAAGGGAAAGAAAGGGAGACAAAAAGAAAAAGAGAAAGGTCAAAGTGGGTCGTGATATGTGCATGCACCAACAGACTTCCTCACTTTTGTCACCGACACAAAATACTAGCTGACTGAGCTTTGCCTAGCAAATGGTCAAAGTGGGATCATTATTCCATTTTTTTTTCTTTTGAATTCATCTTTACACATGCATCAAAATTAGTGGTAGTCCAAGGAAACAAAAGGAATATATATATATATACATATATTTAGCTTAAACCAAATAAAATTATTACTAATAAGATTAAAAGGTTTAAATTTTCATATAGAAGTAGAGATGAACTGCAATATTTATCTTTCTCTTTCGAAGGATAATTGAACCATGGTAGAGTTTCAAAATAAATATAAAAGAGATAAGAGAAAAAGAAATGAGATAGAAAGTTGCGTTGGTTTCTCTCCAAATTCTGAAACTGTAATGATAGGTTTTACTAAAATCTAGAGATTTTAAGAAATCATCACCGTACACACATGTTCGATGTGGTGTCGCGATGTTGACCTAAACATAAAGATGCTATAGACCGTAGCATTTCAATCTTCTCGTATGCTCTTTCCATGTCTCAATACAACGAACTATGTAGCGTCAGCTCTTCAATGTTTCTCCACAAAGTCTAATCATCTTCTACTTGGAGACAAAACAACTATCTTTCTTCTCACTCTAACAAAAAGATTGTCACCTGGAATCTGGAAAATGTCGGATGGTAAAGAATGTATGTTCTTACTTTCAACTATTTTACTATGAGATTATTGATTACACTTAGTTATTTTACTTTTATTCAAGTCATTCAATTAAACTTTAATGTACTTTCACTATTTATCCTTTGGATTTTTGGATTTAAATTTATCAATCAATCTCAACTATAATTTTCATATAAATAAATTTCATAAATACATGTTATAGTTTTAAAAAATCGAATATAATTAATTTATCTCAATCTTCTTAGAACAATTTATTATCATTTATTCTCTATTTCTTCTCCCAAACTCTTCAATAAACTATTTGAAATTTCTAAAATTGTAGTTAAAAATAATATTTTACCAAAAAAATTAAATTACATAATAAATAACGAAAAAAAACCATAAAACCATAAACAAAAAAAACTCGAGTGAGAAATGAAGACAATACAAAACACAAATAATATAAAAAAAAAAAATCATATTAAAAAATTAAAAACGAAAAAAAAAAAAAAGAAGAAGAAGAAGAAAGACATGGAATACTCGAAAACTAAAGAAAATTGACTATTATTTTTTGTTCATTGTACCTCTATGTCTACTTTGACTCATTACTTATAGCTGTAACTTTCACAATTTTAAAATACGTCTTTTAGGAAGAGGTTTTTACATTTTTATAAAGAGTGTTTCGTCCCCTCTCCAATAAATATGAGATCTTACGGTATACAACTAAAGTTTAAACTTTAATCAAAGAGAGAAAAATATAGCGTAGATTTTCTAGGAAATTACGAAGATAAAATGTAGTGTAATTTAAAGTGGAACTACTACTAATACAAAAAAAGTGCAAAGAAATATTTACATGGTCCTAAATTATGAAGGCATTTCTTTTATGTAATTTATCTTTTCTTTGAATAAAGTGATGAAAAAAATTGGACCCATTACTATATTCGCAAACTAAAGCTTATTAATTAGGTTGGAGGAATATTCTAATCCTTACCGACAAGATTGTTATATTCCATGCCCCTAACTTTTATTTTTGGAATATATATATATATAATTATTTGATAATTAATTCATATCTACTTGAGTAAATTGAGACTATTATAAATGAAAGCGATAGTGATTTTAAGAGAATTGAAAGAGACTATTTATACTAACAAGAACGGAGTCTATCTGGTACGAGAATGTTGAGACCATTAAATACTAAATTTATATTTTAAATCTTGAGCATGTGTCTTTACGATCTTCAAAAACTCAATTTTTTTCTTACTAAAAAAAATAATGTTTCAAATTTCTCTCTTTGTTTAAGTTTTTTTCTTAAAAAAAAAAAAAAAAAAANATATATATATATATATATATATATATATATATATATATCTTTTAATCCAACTTTTCTTTCTTTTCTCTATCCTATATTTTTGTCAAGAACTGTACTCTCTGTGAGTTTCACTTGTCGTTCATCAGCTGAGTTTCTCTATCATGCTAAATGGCAAACCAAAGAATAAAATATGGTAAACAGGTAATTGAGAAGTATTTTGTTAAGAGATTTTGTAGCGTGAGAATGTGAGAGATACACTTTGTAAATACTACTCTGGTTACAGTGATTGGCTACCACCAATGGATGTAGGAAAATCTCTTCTCTTTGAACCACGTAAATCTTTCTGTCTTTTTAGTTAATTTCTGTTTGTAGGTGTGTGACTGCGATCCATCTTGATTTTACTTTTGCTACAACAATTGGATATCATAGCTTTTTTTGGTTGTGGCATTCAGCTACAATAATTGGTATCATTGCATTTTTGGTTATGACATTTTGTACCACAAGTGATATCATAGCATTTAAAGGTTGTGGCATTACGACACACAACATATTTTATTATAAGTTGCAACCTAGATAACGAATACAAAATAATAATGGAAGAAAATTGTTATTTTAAAACAAAGAAATAAAATGATTTTGTTCGTAAAGATGTGAGTGTCATTGATCTTGTTTCCAGTTCTATTACAACATCTTCCATTAAAAGCTCCCTAACATTTGGAGTTGTAGTGCTCTCACATGCCATTCTTACTTACCGGGTGCCTTTAGGGGTTAACCGCTCCTCCTCGGTCTCCAATTCTTTTTATTGGTATAAGGTTTTTTGGGAACAAAATAATAATAATAATAATAATAATAAAACAACGAGAGTTTATATTTAAAGTGGACAATATCATATCAATGTGGAAGGTCATTGTTCCTATCAAGTAGTATCAAAGTCATGCTTTTATCATAACTTAACCTTGAAGGTGTAGTTATAGTGAAGATCCATGGTAGAGCTCTAGAGAAGAGGGTTTAAAATAGTGCTAGATAGATAGATGACTATTTAAGAGAAGGCTCAATAAGGCACTTTGTTCGAGTGGAGAATTGTTGAAGATGGTTGGAGTCCCACATGTTTAAGAGGAGTCTCAGTGGTGTACTTTGTTTGAGTGAAGGATTGTTGAGAATGGTTGGAATCCCACGTTAACTAATTAACGGAAAAAAAATGATATATATATAATTATTATAGACAAAAGCTTAAATTTGAATAGATTCTTAAAAACTTAATTTTGAATGTCTTACCCTGCTTTAGCTCGACAAAATGTGAAGACCAAAAGGGAAGAATCAGATTATAATGTTTTACTTTCATGGGGATAAAATATGGTTATTGTCATGTCGGTTGGTTTGCATAGGAGAACATCCTGCTCTTTACTCCACACAGCTAAGGAATGAGATCTTTGTCCCTCATTAATGCATCATACAAAATCAGATCTTTGTCCCTTCCTAACAACAAGGAAACATCTTCTGTTCTGTTCAAGCCAAGAATAGATTCAACCAGCTTCACCCGTACACCATCCACGTTCTCGTGCCAACAACCACTAACTTAAGCATCTCCGAAATTTTCTTAGAAAGTATGTTGAAAGGACTCATGTTGATTTGTGGAAATAATTTTTGTGAGATCTCACATCGGTTGGAGACGAAAATGAAACATTCCTTATAAGGGTGTGTAAACCTCAACCCGTTTTAAAACATTGAGAGGTAGCCCAGAAGAGAAAGGCCAAAGAGGACAATATTTGTCAACGATGAGCTTCGGCTGTTACAGTTTTCACTCTTACAAGTGAGAAGTAAGTAATGTGACTATGTCGCAAAGGAAAGCCGAAGCCATTAGGTACCGGGAAGATATGATTTGCATTCAAACCATTACACTGAATCACAAATATTACGTAATATAACATGAGTACAAAGGAAGATATGGTATGATTCATTATATACTTTAACCAAATTTCAATTATAAAATATTCTATCCTTTGGACCAAAGTTGTGGATTTCCATGGTTGTCTTTACCATTGTCTCTTCATTCTTCATTCACATTCTTCTAAGACCTATAAATATCAAACCCAAATCAAATAAACAACAAACAAAAACCCTTCTTTATTTCTTCTCTACCATACATTTTTTTAAATCTCCTTAAGTTCCCCTCAATCATGTCTTTGCTATCACTTAAGAAACCCATCACCTCACTTGTTCATCCAAAATCACAAAACCTTGACGAAGGATTGAACCTCGAAAGCTTCACAGATGATATCGTTGCAAATTATATTTACGTCAAACATTACGAAGATGAAAAATTCAAAATTGATATCGATAGTTATATCTTACTAGTGGAAAGCATTATTATAACTGCAGATCGAATTACCGACAGTATTTCTCGAGTATAAACAACTTTTGAAGTCCTTCGCTAAGAAGTTTCATCAACTTTTTTTTTTCTTTTTTGTGGGAGGATTTTGTTGTATTGTATCATATGATTTGTTTTGGGTGCAGGTAATTGAAGGACGTATTGCATTTGGAAATGACTCTTATGCTGCTTCACTCAATCTACCTCTTTGTACTCTACATCGTATCTCTAGTCAGGTCATTTATTACAGCTTTATTGATGTGTATCTTTTTAGATTGATTGTTAATTTATAGAAATGAGTATCATATCATCACGCTCTATCAAGTTTAGATTTATTTATAAGTAGGAGTGTAAATTGGTTGGATTGGAAAATTTTTTGAACTAACCTCGGAGATCGATTGGAGAGAAGAACGAATGCCAACGAAGATGTTGGGCTCTGAAGGTGGGTGGATTGTGAGAGTCTACATTGAATGGAAAGAAAAACAAGTGCCAACGAGAATGTTGGATCCCCAAAAAAGTGGATTGTGAGATCCCACGTTGGTTGGGGAGGAGGACGAAACATTTTTTATA